GAAAGTAGTGCATGGTACCAGTATGTTTAACCTCCAAATCCGAGGGGAACAGCCTGAATCTTTTTTTTTGTTTGAATCTTGAAGTGTGTATTGCCAACTTAACCTTGAGATCATGCACATATCATTGGTCAATAGACAACATATACCAAAAAAGCATTCAAGCCAAAAAAAACTGGGGTTGCATAAAAAAACAAGTGTCAGTACTGTCATGTCATTGGGAGGGTATAAGTAAAGCAAGTCAAAGGTACGTAGCGTATCAGTCATTCCAGATCCATATTCATTAGTCTCTCCCCTTGCCGCCTTCCTTCCTTCCATCATCCCACCTTATGTTCGTCCATCCATCCCGCTTCAAAAAAAAAGAAACCGTTCCAACAGGCCAACCCTACGTCCTCCCCCCCTTCTCCCCATCAAAAAACGCAACCAACTGCCCAATCGGAACCTTCCCCACCGGTTTCGGCATCGGCATCTTCACCTGTAATCCCTCTTGACTTTGCTGGTGCCTCCTTAACAACAAGGGGTCCACGAACTTGGTACCCCCTCCTCCAAGACCACCGCTTATCATTCCGTCTCCCGTCCCAATGGAGCTGGTACCGGAGGAAAGTCGCTCAGAAGACCGGGACCTCAACTTCGGCTTTAGCGGCGCGGTGGTCCCCATGGTAGGAGTCTGAGTCTGTGGAGGGAGGAGGCTGGCGTACCCATACGCACTCTGTGCCCTGATCCGACGAGTGGACGGCGACGGTGAGGTCGTGGCTGTGGACTTGTAATCGCCACCTCCAGGTCCACCAGGAGATATCGAGTTTGACGCGGTGGAAGACAGACTCCCATTCGCAATCTTGAGCTTGATCCCAGAGGACTTGCCGATGATTTCTTCACCTTCTCCGAACTCGCCTGCTCCTTCGTCTTCCTTTTTCTTGTCATCTTCATCGTCCCCTACGGGAGAAACGGAAAAAGACCCCCCAATCACACGGGAGTACGACCGTGGTGTGCCTACCCTTTTCAATAAAAGAGCAGTAGCAGGTGGATCCGTGTGGGTATTAGTAATATTCGCATTGGTATTGGCGGCTGTATTGGCGGCGGTGGCATAAAACAAAGAAGCGGCGTTTGAAGAAAATTCATCCTCATCAGGCGCAGTTATCGGTCCTCCAAGCGCAACGGTGTACCGTTTCCTCGGCGTGGGGCTTACACTCGTTTGTCTTTTCCCAGCAGCCGATTTCGGCGGTGGCAATCCTTGTTGTGCTCCTCGTCCTTTGGCCGGTGCGGGTGTTGGGCTGGCCGTGCGTGCGGCAGAAGCAGAGGCAGGAGCGAACTTGGGTTGAGCAGGCGGGGATGGCGGCCTACCCGTACCGGAAAGAGAGGTGGTAGAATATGAAGCACCCGGTAGTGTAACCAGTCCTGAGGATGAATGGAGGGGTAAACCCGAAATGGCCGTGGACAAAGGCCTCATGGCAGAACTAATTGACGATGGTGGAGAGTTACCAGGGGAGAACGTATCTGGCGGAGAAGAATAATCCCCCGCAGGGTACGGTAACCTCGTGCCCGATTCTCTCCTCTTCGAAGTCATAGGCGGACTTGTAGATTCTCTGGCAGTGGTACTTGATGACCTGGGATGGTGGATGGGCGTGCTGGGTGCTGACGGTGATCCTGTCAAGTGCGTTGCAATTGAAGAAGTCGGATGTGAGTGCGTGACGATGGACGAAGTGGTTTGTGGTGCTACCGATACAGCGGCGGACTGTGCTTTAGGTCCTGCAGAAAGATTATTGGGGGCCGTTGCAATTTTCGCCATCTCCCGGCCTAGTTCGCCTAATCGGCCTTGAAGCTCGACCACCTCGTCTCGGAGGTCGTGGATTTCATCTTTCACGTTGTCCGTTGAACCCGGGTGTCTCAGCGACTCGGACTCGGATTCCTTGTCCTTCTCTTTCTCCTTCTCTTTGTCCGCTTCCTTATCGACTAACCACCTCAACATCATTCATCCGATCTTCCAGAGCCCTAACGTGGCCCACGGTCCATTTCTCGAGCTTCTCAAAGCGTTTGGCTATCATGAGGAGTGTACCTGGTACGTCTAGCGTCCCTTGGGATGTGAACTGCGTGTACAAAGGTGGCGCCTCGTGAGAAGGGGAGGAAGACAACGTATCCGTTGTACGCATGGGAGAAGGCGTCAGGTTGGGTGGCATATTCGAGAGACTCGGACGAGAAGGGGTAGGCGAAGACGGGGAGGAAGAAGGCACGGGGACGCGTCGGACGGGTGTGGTTGGGATGGTGAGGTTCACGAAAGCTGGATCGCTGAACTTGCCTTGGGCGTTTGCAGGCCACTCTTTCTCCTTGCCTTTGGCGTTCTTCTTGTTATCCTTCTCCCTCGCCTTCGCCTCCAATATAATTTGCTGAGCAGGCGTCGGAGGGTCTTTCGTAGGCATAAGCCTACTCTTCGCAGTAGACCACCAACTAGTAGCGCCACCCGACTCTTTCTGAGAATTAGACGGAGACGGTGGATTAGGCATAGTCTGAGACCTGGAGGGCGGTGGAGGGAGCGACTTTGTGCTCTCCATCATAGACAGCACACGGTCTTCAACGAGTCTCCTCTGCTGAGCCTCCCGTGTGAGTATAGCTTCCGCTTCTCTGCGACTACGGTCGCGTTCCCTCTCCACTTCAGCTTCTAGCTCTGCGTCGCTTAGCATAGGTGATCGTGGTGCTATGCCCCCCACGAATGTGCCAATCCTTTGAACGAAGCTGGCTGCGAGATGGGAGACGGATGATGAAGGTGATGGGGAACGTTGCTGCCATATCCCTTGGTCGTCCTCCCGGTCGTCGTTGTCGTCTGATCCATCGTCGGATATGGCGTCTGGATCGATGCCTGTTGAACTGTCTGGAAAGAACGCGTTTCATGGTGGCGAGGGTGGTGATGGTGACCTCCCTCTCGGAGGCTAATAGAAGGATATTGATCAGTGGGATAGTCGCGATCTGATGTTCTCCAAGACATACAATAGAAAGGGAATCAGCAGGCGAAGTCATCCTTCGTTGCTGTCGTCCATTCAAGCTCTGGCACGGCACTAGTATGTGTTGGGTTGTCTGAAAGGTTCCGTTGTATTGACGTTTGCCAGGGCATACATTTGCTTCAAAGTTCAACCGCACCTGCTCACGTCAGTGAGCTCCACGCACGAAAAAGGCTCCACTTCGTACTCACTTGCTCTGGGACGAAGGACGAGGAAATCTCAATAAGGTTCAGTCGAAATGTCACACCTGGGTCACATTCGTGATGCCATGACGTCATTGTTGCAGTGTTCTTCGTGCCCAGCGAGGACGCACGTCAGTGTGAATACGTCGCTCCGAGTGATATGGAACTGGAGATCATACCAGGGTGAGTTCGTGCTTTATTTCCCCTTCTTCTGGTCTGAACTTGTTTCCACTCTAGCTTATTGCAATTTGCGTCGGCGGGCCAAGCGAAGTCCGAGACGACTGTATCAACTCTTCCTTCCTCTTGGCGTGCTTTTCGCAAAGGACTTGCCCTATAACGCCGTTTGCGCTACATCTTCCATTCAGGTGTACCATCTTGCGGCCCACGCAACTAGTTCTCGTTGCAGTTATTCCGCAATCAAGCTTCAACCTCGCGCTCAACGTCCATCTCCAGCCGCCGCGTCGCCTACGTGTAGCAAGCGTGCCCGCTTCCTCGTTGTGGTCCATCCGTGAAACCAAGGAAGCACAGTGTATTTCAAGGGAACGTCGCGATGGAATGGATTCTTCGACTAGGATGTGTACGGATCGTTCTAGGCTCTGATGAAGTACAAGTGCGTACTTCTTTTCTCCCCTCTCTTTTTTCTAAAACCCGTTGCTTACACCGGTATACAGACCTAAAAATTCCACCCCGTTATCATTCTTTCATGCCCTCCTCGATTCCATCCCACAAAATAGGCAAGGGCTAGCGCTCACCGCTTTCTCCGACCTTCTCTTCCCCTTCTCCTACCCGTGGCCAACTCTGGGCTGCTGCTGCACAAGATTCGTAATACCTCGAAAGAAACCACTTGGTGGTCAACTTTGAGCGCGCAGAATCCTGCCGTACGTGCCTTACCCCCCGTTCTTGCTTGGATGGAGGATAGCAGAGAGGGAAACGGTTTCGGGAGATTGGGGGTGGCGATTAAGAGCGATGGCTGTCCCTGTTGGTAGCGAATTTTTTGGCTGAGAGCGCCACGCCCTGTGTCCTTTCGACTGGGGTAAGTATGACACCTCGCTTCTTTGATCTTCCAGTATTCAACTTCCATTCCCTGTAGCCGCTACCTTCACCCTCGTTGGTGATTGATGGAACTCCAGCGGACCGATCTATCATTGCAGTGTTCTTCGTGCCCAGTGAGGACGCACGTCAGTGTGAATACGTCGCTCCCAGTGATATGGGACTGGAGATCATATCGTGAGTTCGTGCTTTCCAACTCTCTTCTCGTCTTCTGGGGTCTAAAAAGAACTTGTTTCCACTCTAGCTTCCTGCGTCAGCGGGCCAAGCGAAGTCGACGTCCGCGTATCTAATCACCGACTCACAGTACTAGCTAAAAGCTCAACGTTCAACGCTTGCCTTCTTCATGAAGGATGTTCGACTCCAACGAATTCATATCAACGACTTGCTCTCTTAACAACCTCAGAGTGCGCCGCTGGATCGATGCACATCAGTCGATTTGGAAATCCTGACGGACAGCCTCTGCTGCAGAGGCTCCCTCCCTCCCGGACCCAAAACGTCGACGACACCTCTATCCACTCTTCCTATACGAGCTTACATTTTACGATCGAGGAATCTGCTCGCTTGCAAGTCAACGTGACCGCCAACTCGGAGGGCTTTGGGCCGTCGTCTATGATTACTTGCAGGCGACCATGCGTTGACTGAACATCATGAGATGCATAGGAGACTTTCTGCAGAGGACAGTGCGCCGTTCGTTATAGCCCCTCTCAAGTGGATTTGCCAGTCCACTTCCGCTCCCATTCGTCCTCTGAGCAACGAACGCAACCGCTTCTCACACACTTGATCCTCTCCGTGCTTCGAGATCTCCTAGACACCTACCTCCACCCACCCCACCCACCCCCTTCTCCATAACACGGACGTAGGTCGCATATACACCCCTTCCAATCACTTTTAGTCAAGCATGCTAGCGCTGTATGGCCGTAAACCAGTTCTTCACCCGTACCTCTCGCGGTATCCCGCATTTCCGACTCTGGGCATCTTCAACGCCAGAACTGTCACGTTTGCGTTTTTTGGCGTGAATTCCTCAGGCAAAAGAAGTAGTCGTCGCGTGATTCTTACATTACAAAAGCCTGAGCTCGTGTGTAAATTGAGAGAGTGCAGTATGATCGTCCGATATTCCCAAAATGAGTGTACCGTTTGCCGAATGCCTACCCAGTTTTTACTTAATGCCAGTCATCGTCGTTGTGAAACTTGTGAAAGTAGAAAGTTAATGAGTGGCCGTTCATGTTTTGGGAGATAGGATTGACATGGGTAGTATCCCAACACGAATTGGTCAAGCTACAGAGTCAGGGCTGTAATGTTACGATTCCCATTGTAAGTAATACTTATAATCAACGTCTCGACTTTGCCGATGTTGAAGCTTGAGGGGTTCTTTCGATCGGCTGAACAGAGACTGACACTTGAAGCCCTCCCCCTCCTTCCCCTGGAGCAAAAGCACAGCATACATACGCACCCCAAACAAACCTATGCGCGAGTGTTGTGAATACTAACCCGACACATCCGAGACACTCAAGTATCACTGACCTATGTGCAATAGCCACACCCCCACTCCATCGAAGTCGGTGTCCGCATGAGAAGAGACGAGGACCGTCCAATAAGTTTGGTGTTTCTCACCCTAGGCCTTCGCCCTCAGTGGTTCGTTATTTGCCGTTGAACTATTGGAAAAGAAGGCGTCAGTAACCATCGTCGTCGGCCGCGTCGAAGCCAAACTTACAAGAGCCCAATCAGCGATGCGTATGTTTGACGTTGCGGCAGCCCAGGGCGGCGACGAGCTGCGGATGGACGGAGAATCTACGCTGTGTGGACGCTGAGCCCGTAGAGGACAAATTCTTGTCGTACGGGCAGAGATTGGGGCCATTGGGTGGTACATAACCATGTACGTAATGACAGATAGAGCGTCGGGGTTGAAGTAATTGAGAAACTCAGAGTACTGCGCGAGCTTTGAATGACCGAATAGCAGAACAAGGTGGGCGCAACCGATGAGACGATCGATGCATGTCAGAGGTCTGCCTGCGGCGAACGGCAAAGAGTTGATGTTGGATGCAGGCGAGTTCGTTAAAAGGATTGAACGATGGCGAAATTTCCTTCGTGAGTCGATGCACAAAGGGATGCAAGTTGCCGGGTCGTGGGGGTCATGGTGGACCTAGGAAAGACGGTACAATCATCGAAGTAGGGCTTGCGTTGGTGTTATGAAACCAGGACCTGAGTAACGAAAGGGGGCAGTTAGCGAAGCTAAAGATCGAACATATGCCGATAAGAAATACAGGGGACGAGGAAGGGAGAAGGGATACGTAAGAATGAGTAAGGGAAGGGCGATAACTTACCAAAGGACAGATGTCCTTATCCCTACTCTCGGGCTCTCCGACTGAAGCTTGCGCTTATGAGCATGTGGACGGCAGGGACCTAGCGTGGCGTGTGGAGCTTTTCGAGAGGTTATCGAGCTGGGTAGGTGTTTTGACGTCTGCAACGGAAAGGCCGTTAGGACAGGCGTTGTCGACTTGTAGGAAAGAAATATGTACTGACGATCAACTTGAGCTAACGGAGTCTCCTCCGTGTTATGCAACGTGGCTTCGAGTGCGTTACCGGGTGGTAGTGCAAAGATGGAATTGGAGCAAAAAAAAAAGCCGATTTCAATCCTGTTTATACCGTAAGCATGCAGTGAACTTCGCAATTTCAAGATTTCAATTGTCGTACCAGTAGAAATCTGTGGTTTGCGGTCTTGTATGGTTTACAAGCACGGCGCTCGTGAACGAAGTTAAGAGGACCGGAACCGTCACAGAATTGTCAATATATTAGCACAGGTGCTTGAGTGACCCGTGCTGAACACAGCCCACTTCAATAATTATCCACCTCGTGTAAATGCCGCTTGTTCGCTTGTGCAACGTTGATTGCAAGCCCGGCCCCTGAGAAGAGGCCGCACGGTATACTAGCATCGCGGCGACCAGTGCTGTTCGGTTGCAAAGTTAGCGTTGTTACTATACGTGATGAAGGAGAAAATGATGGGGGGCAAAAGGAGGAAAGGGGGGGAGGGGGAAGGAAGAATGGGAGGAAAAGAGGAGTCGGGGAGGGAGAAGAAGAGAAGGGAGAAGAAAAGGAGTCGGGGAGGGAGATAGAGGGACAAGATAAGGGAGGGGAAGAGGCGGGAGGGAAGGAGGAGAACAAGGAGAAGGAGGAGAACAAGGAGAAGGAGGAAAACAAGGAGAAGGAGGAGAACAAGGAGAAGGAGGAGAACAAGGAGAAGGAGGGGGCGGAGGAAGGGAAATAGGAAAGGAAGACAAAGCGGCAAAAGAGAAGGATTAGTGGAAGAGGAAGAGAAGAAGGAAAGTACGGGTAAAAAGAGTAGAATCAGGAACAGGGGAACAAGGAGCAGCGGGAGGAGGGTAGCCAAAGGAAAAAGACGAAGAACTAAACAGACAAAGAGAGAGCAACACTTACAAAATATCGCAGTTAAGAATGCCAGCGCGCTCGAGAAACACGCGGCTGTGCACCAGAGTGTCTGGGCCCTACACTCGAATGGCATTTGTGTGGCTATCATTATTCCGATGGCTGTTGGCGTGGAATCTCAGTGTGTGTCCGGAAAGATAGACAGATGCTGAAAGGATGGCGAGGGAGGGAGGAAGAGCGGACGAACCTATCCATATCGGCACCAACACACCGAACGAAATAACATGCGCAGAGGAACGAGTGAGCGGATGGGTCGAGACTGGGAGGCGGTTGTATCTTATTCTGTTTTCAACATGACGTAAGTATGTCTTGTTTTCGTGTGGGCGTAACGAACATACAACACCCCAAGCCATATCCAGGTCGCTATTGACACTCCTGCTGCTAGTTTGCCAAAGATATCTGTGCGTTGTACGTTCGCCAGCTACCTTACTTGAAAACTCCTGATGAGGGGAGGGAGGGAGACATACAAAGGAATGGAGAGGACCCGTTCAAGAATCCCGCGATGAGGCCAAAAACGGTTTGGAGGCACGCAGTGAAGAGTGCCAGACCTGGAAGTATGTAGTACGAATGGTCAGTTTGACTGGAGAAAGCACGGGAATACGGGAATTGGTGAGATGAATGAAGGAAACGTACTATAAAACGCAGTACGATCGCAAGGCATTCTCGTCGTTCAAACGTTACAGAGGCCGTCTAACAGTGGCTTTTGAGAAGTGGTGGTGGTGGGCACAAAGCAAGGACAGCAAACAGCAAACAGTGAAAAAGGCGTCAAAGCGAAGAAGTGACCCCACTTTCAACTTTTCCCCTTCAAGCTCTTAGTAAAGGGTCCACGGACCGTCAGACTCAGAGTTTGTTCCCTTGACATCCAGGGTCCCACTGACTGCGGCTTCGGGATGCGATTGGGGCTTCTCATCCGCTTCTTTTATGACTCTGTTCCATGGAGCTCCTTGGAGTGATTTGGATGAAGTTGAGGTTATTTTGGGTGCAAGGTTATTTCTCGGCGAGAGAGAGAATGGGTTGGATGGTGAAGGAGATGGAGGCAGATGTCCCGAAGAGGAAATCGCATACCTGGCCAACTGATCGATCGGGTTGATGCACGTGCGCGTGATCTTGGCGACGCGTCGATTTGGATGAAGACGATCCGCTGATAGGACGCAATTATGAGCGTTTCCTCGCAATCTTCCAGCTCGATAGAGTACTGCATAGAGTACTGCATTTGAGCAGGCTCGGGGATATTGGGCTGTTTCCTCAACGTCAGTGCGTTTACATTATAGATCAGTGGACTCGCTTCTAGATTTATTTGTTTTCGAAGTTTTTCATTGATGGAGCATTCATCTGGTACGTGCCAAGTGCCTGCTGAACGAAAAACTCAGAAGGGGATGCAATTGACGAGAACAGTTGTTTTTCATTCCTTATTGCATCGTCACGGTACGCCATCTGTCTTGCTATGTTACACCATTCTCTAAAAAGGTCTAAGTCCAATAAATAGTATCCCCATTGCAAGCGTCCCATATAATAACTTAACGTTCAACCACCCACTTCCTCAACCTCTCCGCACACCAAGGTGCGCGATATTCGACCTCAACCCGTCCGAGAACGGCGCCGCAGCGCGTTTTATTATCAAGGCCGTTGCCAATGCTAATCCATCCACAGTCAATTGAGTCCTCAGGTGCAGACGACGATATAGACATACCAAAAATACAACTTGCCAACCCCAAACTTCCTGCAAGCGCCGGCGTAGCACACGCATACCCCCTCGTAACTGAATTGGTGAAATTCCTGTGACACGCCTTGTGGATTTGGGCAAGGAGAAGAATCCCAAACACTGGATGTTCCCGAATTTCATGTCAGTGGGACCAGCGGATCTGTTATAGAACTTGAACGCACCCAATTGACTGAACGCAATAAAACAGAAAGAGCTGATATGGACATAAGCCCTCGTCAAGAAATGAGTCGACTCCGGTCTTTTATGATATGATATCCTATCCATGGAACCAACAGTTAACCCCGTGTTGAAATTAAATGAATAGGAAGTGGGTGCGTACAACACGAAAATCCATAACCACATCAACACAGAGATACCCGATGAAACCATCCCACACCGAACTATGAGCCACGTCAATAACTTTGTTGCTCAGCAGGAATTTCAAAGGGCGTACATAGCGTTTTATTCCACGAGACGTTATCCCCGCTTGTCCCTGCCATGAGCGCGGATATGGATTGGAGGACGATTAGTCCGAGAGTGGCGCCTGAAATAACGAAATCAGATTGAAGATGCTAGGGAAAGAAGAAGAAAGACGAACCGTAAAATCCCCAGCGGAGCCTCAGGCTCATGGCGAAGAAGCAAAGTGAACGTTTTAGTAGGTCGGTAAGGTATGGGGGGACTTTATTTAAGCACGATTATTATCATGCTAACTGCGTACGCCGGTGTTGCATCATGATGATCCAAGCCAATGATCACTGCGGAGGATGTGCGGAGTCGCCAAGCACCCTGCATTTCGCTTTCGGAGAATAGCCAACATGCTGTGCAACGGAGTCGAAGCGCTTCTAGACCTACGGATCCGAAAGTCTCGTAGTTATTTATGCATCGTAAGACTCAACATGCGGTGCATGGAGGAAGATAATGGATGCCCGATACTCGCATTGTGGAGCACATAATTTATACAGCGACGTGTCCGTTCCGCGCTATCTACCAAAAAATCCTCATGAGTAAAACATATTTCTCGCATATGGATGCCATAAATTTTAAGGGAGTCAAGGGAAAAAATACCATAGCTGGAATACTTATTACTTGACTGCTTTCACAGGCCGCTGGTACGTTTCTCTCGTGACGATGATCAACTGAAACTCTGGACGAGTCCCAGAACGCGTCTAATCTCCAGGTCCATCACCCTCCTTCCTCTGGAGCAAAAACGGAGCATACAGAACCCCAAACAAACTTATGCACTATTGTCGTGAGTACTGGCCTGACGCATGAAAAGGACCCAAGTATCACTGACCTATGTGCAATAGCCACGCCCAACGCCCCCCATCGTCCATAGAAGTCGGTGTCCACGCGAGAAGAGACGAGGAACCTAATGAGTTTGGTGTTTCTCACCCTAGGCCTTTGCCCTCAGTAGTTCGTTATTGGCTGAGAAACCAAGGCAGGTATCAGTAACCATCGTCGTCGGTTGCATCTAATCCGAACTTACAAGACCCCAATGAGCGATCCGTATGTGTGTCGTTGCGGCAGCCCGTGGCGGCGACGAGCTATGGATAGATACGCACGACGGAGGATCTACGCTGTGTGAGCGCTGAGTCCGGAGACAACGAATTCTTGTGGTACGGGCAGAGATTGGGGCCACTGGGTGGTACATATACCATGTACATAACGACGAATAGGGCGTCGGGATTGGGGTAACCGAGAGGCTCTGAGCGCTGAGCGATTGGCAGAGGATAGCCGAAGAGCCGGATAGGTGGGCGCAAACCGATGACGATCGATGTATGTGAGAGGTCTGCAGCGAACGGCAAAAAGTTGATGTTGGATGGAGGCGAGTTCGTTAAAGAATCAAATGATGGCGAAATTTCCTCCGTGAATCGATGCACGAATGGATGCAAGTTGCCGGGTCGTGCGGGTCATGGTGGACCTAGGAAAGACGGTACAAGCATCGAAGTTGGGCTTGCGTTGGTGTTATGAAATCAGAACCTGTGTAACGAAAAGGGGGCAGTGAGCGAAGCAAAGATAATATATATGCGAGGTTAAAAGGCATCCAGAGGTCGAGGGGGTACGAATGAATATGTAACGCAAGGGCGATAGCTTACCAAAAGGCTTTTTAGGCCAGGCGTTGTCGACTTGAAAGAAAGAAATGCTGACGATCAACAACTTGGGCTAACGGAGACTCCTCCGCGTTACGCAAAGTGGCTTCGAGCGCGTTACCGAGTGGTAGTCCAAAGATGGAATTGAAGTAAGAAAAGTCGATTCAAATCCTGTTTATACCCCGTAAGCATCCAGTGAACTTCCAATTTCAAGATATCAATTGTCGTACCAGTAGCAATCTGTGGTTTGCGGTCTTGTACGCTTTACAAGCATGGCACTCGTGAACGAAGTTGAGAGGACTGGAACTGTCACAGAATTATCAACATATTAGACTAACGGGGGCATGCGGAGGAAGAGGGGAGGAAAGTATGGTTGCGGCACAGAGGGGGAAAACGAGCTTAGATAGAAAGGGGAGCAAATCTAACGGAAGGAGGAACTCACTTAGCGCATCCTTTGAATCTCAATAGGTCCCCGATCTCTCTGCATCGGTACAAGTTGGCGGAAGCGGTCATCGGGTTTCATTTTGATCACAGCGGGAGGTCGAGTGTCCAAGCGATGTAGGCTGTAGCTGAACGACCCAGAGAGGAAACACTGGACGACTCGTCATGAAACTCCATTCAACGAGGGGGGTTCGCGGCAGAGTTGAATCCATGCGTACTTCGCGACGGGAAGCTGGCCGAACAAAGACAACATTGGAGGGCCCTAGGTGGGTCGCAAGGTAAAGGGCGCGCTTATTTGTCTTTCGCACAGCCACACGCAAAACCACGCATCTGCCTTTCGTTCGTCCCTTTGAGTTTCAACTTCCCTCAGTCTTCAGAGGTGTTCGTCGTTTTGCTTCTCTGACACACTTTGGACACACTTCTCCGTTGACCGCCATCCTTGTGGCCTGACTTGACGCCAAACCACTGTGGGAGGGACCTCAATCAGGAACGTCAGCTGACTCTGTGAAACGGTCCGTTACCCATTTTGAAGATTGACGCCGCACAGCATCGATTCTCTCTTCTGAACCACCATGTCTGATCCCAGTAACCCCCGCGAAAATCGTTTGAAACGCAAGCTCGAGGAATTGCCCGGCACGATCGCTGACCACCCACGTAATAAACGCTATGGTGGTTTGAGGTTAGAGTTCATGATCTCGGGCTACTAGATAAATATTAACATGAATCCGTCAGCCCCAGCTCCGCCCCGCCTAGCTTGATAATTCCATCTTCAACCATCAGTGCAGCGGACATAGCCATGGCAGGCAGGAGTAAGATACATTCTAATCTTCCTGCATCGAAGTGAGCATTGATTGCTCATCAAATCAAATTTCCAGGTGATCAGGTTGATGTCTCTGCGGGTGGAGGGCTTGAGTGCTCGCAACAAGTTTTACCTATCTCCACTGGTTTGCATTAACCTCAAACCTCTGTCATTCATCATTGGTAACACTGATATAGATATCCTGAGTTCTTACCTGCCTACCACTCCGTCAATCACCCCTGTTCTTGAAATGACTGTTGCCTGTGAGATACCCCTCAATCTCTTTGCTGTAAAGTTCATACTAACCTTATTGATTCTTATCTCACAGTTGATCAGATTGAAGGTCCCATGGAAGGAGCTGTTGATTCCTTGCAACACCCTTCTCCTATCTTGACAGGTTCATGCTTGCTCCAAATCTCTATATTCTATTTCTGATAACACTGTTTAGATTTGCCAGGTTCTGACCTGCCTATCTCTCTATCTATTCCTTCTGCTTTGAATGCAGAACTGATGCCTGCTAGTCAGTACTCTTATAAATATAGTTCAGGCTTGCTCAAATTAGACAGACCATGCAGAGTCCTCAACAAACTTTCAAGCTGACATTATAAACAAGATTTCAGCTCAAAATGTGAACACAGGCCCCAACTATGGTTTGTTGCATTTGAACTATCAGATTTTATTGCCTTCACTTATATTTTAATAGGTACCATCAATCAGGGTAAGTAGTAAGAAAAGCATTGTATCCATCTTAATGTTGTTTGTGATTGGTAGGTGTGGACCCAATTATTCAAATCACCCTTGAGATGATTAGGGATGAGCAACTGGGTATTATTGAAGGTTCTTAGCTCAAATATGTAATTGACTTCATTCTTTGTTACAGGGAAGGAGATTTATAAGTGGCTTTCTCCACCCAAGGAGTCTATTAACTACAATGCTGCACTTGCAATTCTGGAGAGTCAGCTGGACACCTGTCAATGGTTTCTCAAGGGAAATACATTTTATGGGTGGCTCAAACAGCCTGGCTTTCTCTGGATCAAAGGAAAATGTAAGTTTTCTGCCAAAATTGGTAAATTTATACATTATTGACAGTATCCAGCTGGCTCTGGGAAAACCATTTTAAGGTTGATTATTTCAACATTTTTATGAAATTAAATTCAAATTTTCTCTTCACAGCTCAGCAATAATTCACAATATTCTTGAGAGATTCAGTTCTGCTACTGCATATTTCTTTTTTGATGGAAGAGACTCACAGAAGGATTTCCAGCTGCATGATAAACTACTGCGATCACTCATCTGGCAATTCTCTCTGAAGTGTGAGGGTAGACTGCCTAAAGTCTTAGTGAATCTGTATGCTGGCTGTGGCAATGGCCATAAAGAGCCAACTCTGGGTGATCTGCAAAATACTCTTCACATAATTCTTGATGGCTTTAGCTCAACATTCATCATTCTGGATGCTCTTGATGAATGTACTGAAAGAGAAAAACTTCTTGTCTGGATTCAGACTTTTATGCTGGAGAAAAATAAAAATCTTGGGCTTCACTTGATAGTTACTAGCCGCCCAGAACAGGAGATTGAGGACAAGCTCAAGTCTTCGCATTATCTTGACTTGGTTAAGGAATCTGAGAATCATGATCTTGTGGCATATCTTGACTATCAGCTTCAGAATGACTCTGACTTGCAAAAATGGAATTCTAACACTCAAGAGCTAATCAAGCTGAAGTTAATGGAACAAGCAGATGGAATGTATGTTTATTATCAAGCTTTGAATGACAGGATGATTACTAAACACAATTTTAGGTTTCGTTGGGTTGCATTACAGCTAAATGAGCTTAAAGAGTGCCGAACAAGAACTGATCTGAAAAAGCAGCTCGCTGATCTACCTCAGGGTTTGGAGAAAACATATGATCGAATCTTGCTGGGGATCAAGAAAAGAGATCACCATTATGTCAAAGTGTTTTTACAGTGGCTGTCATTTGCTATTCGTCCACTTGAACTGACAGAACTGGCTGCAACTGCAGCTGTTGATCTTTCTGCTGAGAATGGACCAGAGTACAAATCTGACAATGAAATTCAGGATTCCAAGGATGTCATGAAAATGTGTTCTAGTTTAGTTATACAATCAGAAGGTATACTGAGAATGATTCCAGGTTGAAACAAGTGCTAAAGAATTAAACAGGTGTCATCAAGCTTTCTCACTTTTCTGTCAAAGAATATCTGATATCTGAGTATATTCAAAGCCACAATGTGAAGGAAGTCAGATTCTTCAGTTTCAGTGAGGAGCTCTCACACTCTGTCATATCTCAAATCTGTCTGGCCTATCTTCTGCAATTTAACACATCTGAGCCACTTGATATAAATCTAGATGTATCTGCCCCTCTTGCAAAGTATGCTGCAGAACACTGGATCACTCATGCACATTCTGGTTGCCAGTCATCTTCAATATTTGCATTGATTAGGAAGCTTTTGACAAATGAAAGCAATGCTTTTGTGAACTGGGTTCGGATGTATGACATAGATGCATATGGTCGTACAAATCTACAAAAACATAGGGATGAGATTGCTAAACCACTATATTATGCATCACTGGCTGGACTAACTGAAGCATCATATGTTTTGTTGGAACGGAGGGCAGATGTCAATGCAGAGGCAGGGAAGTATGGGAATGCACTGCAGGCAGCATCATATCAAGGCCATGAGGCAATTGCAAAGCTGCTCATGGACAACAGAGCAGATGTAAATGCACAGGGAGGCCACTATGGAAATGCACTCCAGGCAGCATCATATGGAGGCCATGAAGCAATTGCAAGGTGGCTCATGGAGAAGGGAGCAGATGTTGATGCACAGGGAGGATATTTTGGAAATGCACTCCAGGCAGCATCATGGAAAGGCCATGAGGCAACTGCAAAGCTGCTCATAGACAAGGGAGCAGATGTAAATGCACAGGGAGGTCATGGTGGAAATGCACTCCAGGCAGCATCATATGGAGGCCATGAAGCAATTGCAAGGTGGCTCATGGAGAAGGGAGCAGATGTTGATGCACAGGGAGGATATTTTGGAAATGCACTCCAGGCAGCATCATGGAAAGGCCATGAGGCAACTGCAAAGCTGCTCATAGACAAGGGAGCAGATGTAAATGCACAGGGAGGTATGGTGGAAATGCACTCCATGCAGCATCATGTAGAGGCCATGAGGCAATTGCAAAGCTGGTCATAGACATGGGAGCAGATGTAAATGCACAGGGAGGATATTTTGGAAATGCACTCCAGGCAGCATCATGGAGGCCATGAGGCAATTGCAAAGCTGGTCATAGACAAGGGAGCAGATGTAAATGCACAGGGAGGAGAGTATGGAAATGCACTCCAGGCAGCATCATGTAAAGGCCATGAGGCAATTGCAAAGCTGCTCATAGACAAGGGAGCAGATGTAAATGCACAGGGAGGAGAGTATGGAAATGCACTCCAGGCAGCATCATGTAAAGGCCATGAGGCAATGGCAATGCTGCTCATAGACATGGGAGCAGATGTAAATGCACAGGGAGGAGTGTTTTGGAAATGCACTCCAGGCAGCATCATGGGGAGGCCATGAGGCAATTGCAAAGCTGCTCATGGAGAAGGGAGCAGATGTAAATGCACAGGGAGGAGATTTTGGAAATGCACTCCAGGCAGCATCATGGAGGCCATGAAGCAATTGCAAAGCTGCTCATAGACATGGGAGAGATGTAAATGCACAGGGAGGATATTTTGGAAATGCACTCCAGGCAGCATCATCTGGAGGCCATGAGGCAATTGCAAAGCTGCTCATAGACAAGGGAGCAGATGTAAATGCACAGGGAGGAGAGTATGGAAATGCACTCCAGGCAGCATCATATGTAAAGGCCATGAGGCAATTGCAAAGCTGCTCATAGACAAGGGAGCAGATGTAAATGCACAGGGAGGAGATTATGGAAATGCACTCCAGGCAGCATCATGGGAAGCCATAAGGCAATTGCGAAGCTGCTCATAGACATGGGAGCAGATGTAAATGCACAGGGAGGATATTTTGGAAATGCACTCCAGGCAGCATCATGGGGAGGCCATGAGGCAATTGCAAAGCTGCTCATAGACAAGGGAGCAGATGTAAATGCACAGGGAGGAGAGTATGGAAATGCACTCCAGGCAGCATCATATAGAGGCCATGAGGCAATTGCAAAGCTGCTCATAGACAAGGGAGCAGATGTAAATGCACAGGGAGGAGAGTATGGAAATGCACTCCAGGCAGCATTATCTGGAGGCCA